CAATTGTTAATTAGTTTATTGTTATGCATGTTCCTTGCCTCCAATGATGGACTGCTCACTGTTTCCAAATATGAAGCTCACGGTAAGGCAATGGAAGGAGTGTATTGTTGTGGCCACTCCTGTCTAGATTAGCCAAAATTGATAGGGACTCAAACGCATGATTTGAAGTGAGGGGAGTTCCAGTCCGCTACTCTATCACAGAGTTTGCTCTCATTAGCGGGCTTAACTGGAGCTCCCTTAAGAAAAATTGAAAATGATTTTGATCATGATTCCAAGTCCAGATTCATTGAGAAGCATTTTGATCATGATTTCGAAGGACTTGTTAGCTATGAAACAATTGTCAAAAGATTTGAGCAATTGTGCAAAACTTTGAGGAACCCTTCCATTGACGAAGATTTGAAAAAGGAAGCTGAACTAGTAGCGATTGGAGTAGCAATTCTCATGTTTGTAGTTATGGTCGTTCTAGCTCCTTCTAAAAGAAAAGCTTCCATTCCTGAATGAGTAATTAGGAAAATTGGGGCGGGAGAAGAAGGAAAAGTTCTCATGGGGTACGTGGGTGTATACGAGATCATTACATGCATTGAAAAAGAATTTGGTGACAAAGCTAAATGAAATACGTGATAAAGCAATGTCACCAACACTAAATTTCACTATAATTTTGTATAGTGTAATAATAATTTGTTAAGCATTTTTTAACTTTTTCAATTTTTTTTAAATAAATAATAAATTTTGAATGTGCCCCTGATTTTGCTGAAAAGATTGCTGATAGAAGGCCTCAAGGTATGCCTCTCAGCCGAGGTTATGTTTCTGGAATCTAAAGACAACAAAAAGCATCAGTAGTGAACATATTAAAGAAGTTGGAGAATCAATCAAAGTAAGTACAATTTTCTACCACATATGTTACCTGTGGTTGACCGACATTTGGTCGACCAAAATGTGATCAACTACTACATGGCCGACCTATATTGAGTGGACTTGGTTGAGAATGTGTTTTTATACAAATAAAACTGAATAACTAAATTTTTGTTACAGAGGGTGCATAGTATTCTACTACCTGACCGTGTGGAGAATCCGTCTGATTGGGTGTGAACTTTGGAGCCTATAGAAGACACTCACCCACATGTTGAGCTGAATGGATTTGTCAATTAATAAAGAGAAAATTAGACACTCACCCACATGCAAAATGATCTATCTATTTGATTTTTACCTTTCTTTCCTCCTTTTCCAAAATGGACAGTCTAAAATATTCTGCAAACTCACATTTCGTTAATTCTTTTTCTTCGTTGAATAAACGGAACATGAGTTTGTCATCATACTCATCCTCAGCATTATCAATGAAATTAAGAGAACCCAAAAATTCATGCACAACTTATTCCTTTGTGTTATAGGCTACATTCATCAAGGAGGTCAATCATACCCTAGTACACAACGCATACATCAAGTCAAATAGCAGCAACACGGTCAATGAAGCAGAGTAGAGGAATCGACACGGGAATACCTACATTTTGGACTCTTTAATGATTTTTTTCTGTGAGCTTTGGAAGTGAAATGGAGGCCTTCATATCCGCTTCAGGCAGTGAAGCAGATGCCGTAGAGGACGAGGGATGAGTCCTTTTGGGTGCCATGGCTTTGTTTTTGAGAAGTTGGATTTTGGGATTTTGTGGCTAGGTTTTCGGATGTTGTGGTTTGGGGAGGATGGGTATTAAGGGTATGAGGTAGGAGAGGGAGATGAGGAGAAAAGTTTTATATGATTTATTTTGTGATTGGTAGAAAGATTTTGGTGATTTGGGATGTTTGGTTTCATGGCCATGGAGTTTGGGAATGAGTTCGGTCGTAGGGCTAAAGAAGATGGGAGTTCAAACGAATTTCTGGGTTTAAAATTTGGTTATAAACCTCCAGGGAAAGGTTTGAGTTGTTGTCCCTTGACCTTGAAGACTTTGTCAGTGTCGAATCTTTTGATTTCAACGGCTCCGTGGGGGTACACTTTGACCACCTCAAATGTCTCCAATTTGGAAGTCCTTTCTTATTATCATTGTATCATGTCATACCTTCGTTTTTTTCCTATAGATGGCAACATTTTCATGTGATTCAAGGCGGAGTTCTTCTAACTCTTGAAGTTGGAGCTTCCTTTGTCCTTCCGTTTTGTCCATGTCAAGATTGAATGTTTTTACCGCCCAATAAGACTTGTGTTCGATTTCGACCGGAAGGTTACAGGCCTTTCCAAACACCAGTCCATGAGAAGACATTCCAATGAGAGTTTTGAAAGCAGTTCTATATGTCCACAAGGCATCATCCGTGTGAAGGCTCCAATCTTTCCGTCTAGGATTCTCCATCTTTTGGAATTTGGAGTATTGACTTCAACTCCCTGTTGGATAACGACTTGGCCATTTGTTTGTGGGTGGTAGGCAGTGGAGAGTTTATGAGTGACGTCGTACTTCTTTAGCAAAGCACTCGTAGTTTTGTTGTAAAAGTGAGTGCCACGATCGCTTATTAAAATGTGGGGTACTCCAAATCTAAAGAAGATGTGAGACTTGAGAAAGTCCGCCACGACTTCAAATCAGTTTTTGTGAGTTTTGCCTCCACCCATTTAAACACATAGTCCACCGCCAAAAGTATGTATTGATTTCCATGAGAATTTGGAAAATGTTCCATAAAATCTATACCACAAACATCGGTACCCCAGGTTAACACCCAACGACGTTGCCCACAAGCCCGTCAGCTACTTCCACGCCTGATCTTCTCACCGTTGTCTTCAAGCCTTCTTCTTCTCCCCCTTTCTTTCCCACAAACTATCATTGTTTAAGATCTGGAGCATCTCACCAACACACGACACAATTTGTCCCCTTGGATTATTGATGTCGTGGTAGATCAGTTAAATTTAACCATTATCCTACTAGATCTGTTTCGATCATCGTCGAGGCGACGATAGTTACTTAACGGGTCATTGATGGTAGTCATCAATGGCGTGTACTAGCTAGCGGTCACTATAACGGATTTAGATCGGGTAAATGGAGAAGGGGTGGAGTCACTGTGCAGGTTACAAGCGGTGGTCACTGGATGGGTTTCCGGACGACATAGTCACTAATTGGGATTCTGAAAAGTCATTGGGCAAATTTTGTGGCAGTCACTAGATTACGCTTGTGGTAGACTCACTGGATTACTGATTGGTGAAGGTGGTGATGGCCACCGAGCAGCAAGATTGGTGGCGGTGACTGTGGCGGCGGCGATTGTGTTGGCGGCGAATCTAGTGGGCGGCGGTTGTTGTGATGGCTAGAGACCACTGACTAATTACCAATTACATGAAAGGAAAATTACAATAATAAATGCAATATTAAATAAAGGGAATGAATGAATGTTTAGTCATTTTTTGGAAAATTTTAAAACATGTCATATCTTTGTCTTTTGTATTTATTTTAGTAATATTGATTAAAAAAAGGCCAAAAAGCCACTTGAAAATTAAGGTTCAATTTCTAAAAACATGATATTACTTTTCAAGCACAAAATGTGTTGACATAAACTAAGCGTACCAACCATCATTCATAATTACTCGTATAATGTTGTTTTTTTATCATAAAGAGTGACTTATATTAAATAAACAGAACTTGAACAAGTGACAAACGACAAAAAGTCCCCTCCAAACTGCCAGCCCTCGAACTAGACTCAGAGACAACCACATTTAAAAAAAGTAATATGACTCGTTGATTTTATAATGTCATAACTGAGTCAAATGCGATCAAAATAGACTCTCCAACACCCGACTTAAATTCCTGAATCTAACAGAAGTAAATTAAAAACACAACCAATATAACATCCTAACCAACACAAAAAAATCTAAAAAAAGGCCAAAACTAGTAAAAGGTAAACTGCTTCTCCTGAATCACGAGAAGCTTGATCTTTCTTTCTTGGAGAGGACTTTTTCTAGACTCATAGGCGGGCCTTGAAGTGTGGTCTTCCAAACCCTAGCCACGCGGCCACTCTAAGGCGGCTGTTCAGGAGGGGGGCATACCCCGTGTTTGCGGCTACCCTCAAACCAGGACCCACGCCTGACCAGCCAGCCACTAAACTCAAACATTCCATTTACCCACAAATCAAATAACAAAGTTAAAGGCCGTTCCCATGAATCCGGCCACGTTTTGTTGCGAGCGAGAGGTGCCGATCTCCATGGCCCCGGCCCCCTACCAACAAGACATCCACTGAGCAACGAACGCGGCATAACGTCAGCCAGAGAAAACTAAAGCCGCACGCGTAAAGCGACGGAAGAAAAACCCTAACCGAAAGTCGCTAGGGAAACTATTCGCTAGAGAGAAGCTCTCGTTTAATTCGCCCAATTATAATGTTGTTAGCTATAACAAATCAAACTACTTATTTGAAATACATTATAAAAATAATACTCAAATAGAGTTCAAAGTCTTTGAGATCAAATCATACTCCCTCAACTCCGTCCCGATTTGTTTTGCAAAGTCAACATTTTTTTGTCAACCAATAATAAAAGTCAACCCTCCCTAAGAATAATTAATTCAATTTTTAATAATTAAAATTTATATATTCAAAAACTACATTAAAATCTCTTCAAAGTTGTAAACTCCAAATTAGAAAATAATTAAAAATTGACATTCTAATTAAGTGAACAAAATGAGACTGTTTGAATAAGAAAAGTCAAATTTGCATCCGGAGGTAGTATTATTTACTCCGTATATCCATTCGACATTTCCAGGTTGAAAGTCAACTCGAACCATGGAGTAGAATTCGAACTGAGTTTGTGTGATATGGGGATGTTTGGAATTGATTCTGCTTCTGCTTCTTTTTTAAAAGCAGAAGTAGAATCAAAATCAGTTTTCAGAAGCTGGTCATCCCAGCTTCTAAAAAAACTGATTCTATGAGTAAATTTGAGTACCAGAATTAATTCTGCACTTTTACTCAAACACTCCAACTTCTGCTCCCTGAAGGTGTAAAAATAGTTTTAAGTATGAGATCCAAATAGCCTCCAAGTACGAGTATGTATCTAAGCAGAATTGGAGGTCTATTCATGACTGCCGAAACATAAAGCGGGCATCCATTATTTCATACACCTAAATAGCTCCCCCCCGTAATGAAACCAGAAGATCTTCTTCAACCGTTCTCCCGCGCACAAACTCCCAAGTGCACTTTCGGCTGTCCGATCCTCGACCGCCTCCTCGGCGGCGGCGTCCCCTGCAACTCTATCACTGAGATAGTGTCGGAGAGCGGCTGCGGCAAGACCCAGATCTCCCTCCAGCTCCTCCTCACTGCCCAGCTCCCGCTCTCCCTTGGCGGCCTATCCGCCTCCTCCCTTTACCTTTACTCGGAACCCCCTTTCCCACTACGCCGCCTCCGCCAGCTATCTCTTTCTTTCCCTGCTCTTGCCAACCCCTTAGATAAAGTCCTCACCCACCCTCTGCACTCCGCACACCACCTGCTTGATCTATTGCCCCGCATTGACTCGATGCTGTCGCGCCAGCCGCCTGCCAGTTACCCTATCAGGCTTGTAGTTATTGACTCCATAGCGGCACTGTTTCGGTATGAATTTGATAACAAGCCCCTCGAGCTCAAGCAGAGGTCAGACACATTCTTCAAGATTTCAAGCAAACTGAAGGAACAAGCATATAAGTTCGGGTTGGCTGTGGTGGTGATTAATCAGGTTGTGGATGTGGTTAATGCTGCTGAATCCATCCGGATTGGAAATTCTGCATCACTTTACACATCTGGAAGGAATGTCAGTGCTGTTCTTGGGTTATCTTGGGCGAATTGTGTGAATACGAGGTTGTTTATGTCCAAGCACGAGGAGAGAGTTGGTAAAGATACAGATGGTTGTGTTCTTACTCAAAAAGTCCTATCTATACGTGTTGTCTTTTCACCCTATCTGCCTGATTCTTCTTGCCAGTTTGTCATTAGAAGAGAAGGAGTTTTTGGAGTTGAAAGATAGCAATTCACTTTCATGCATATGATATAAAGTAACTGCATACCCAACAGGCAGGATGCAAACAGCTTATTTGTTAGGCAACTGGGAACAAGCTTTGTGCAAGTATATTCTATGGACCATGCTTTTAGGGCAATTCTTGGTGTACACAAATCGTACACAGGCAATTAGAGGGGTTTTGGCATCAAGTCCTGCCCTTTTAAAACGAATTGACTGTATACAAGCAACTAGGGAGTTTTGTGTACACTTTGTGTACAACTCATGTACACTAAAAAATTTTCTTGCTTTTATCATGTTGTTGGACTGGAAGAAATGATAAAACCTGTATGCAGGTCTCATTGATTGACAGTTTCCAAAAGCATCTGCGGCTGCTTAATTGCTAATTTGCTAGTTAATGTGATTTATCCACCAAACTATATCTTCAAAGATGGAAAGATATCTATTTTAGTACTACACTGTGTATCTTATGCAGTAACAAAGCTGTGTGGTAACATTCTTTACTCTCCTGTTATATATGCGTCCACCATAAACATATAAACTGAGGTTTACTATTAAAAGATATCCACCTCTCAAGGTCGGTATAGTGTCTTGAGATAGATGAAGGACGGTCACACTTGATTGATTCATTAGCTATACTTTCAAGCATTGCAGATTGGGTGCAGTAGGTACGCATTCTAATACACTTATTATAAGGTTAATGATGTAAGAAATGCAAGCACTTCAATTCTGTGTGGGGATGTAGCTTTTAGCTGTTGTCTGGTTCATTTTCTTTTTTTGAGAGAAATACTCTCTGGTTCTCCAGGCCAAGGATTTAAGATCTGGACGGTTATAAATGTTTGGCGCAGAAATAGATGGGACCAGGGCACACACGCGGCATACCCTCTCATCTAATTAATTACTCCGTAAAAACACTACTCCATCTTCCCACAAAACTTGAGCAAGTTTGGCTAACATTTGAGACAATATGGGCTTGTTCACTTACAAAGGTATTTTTCAGTTTTCTTTTCTGTTTTCCGTTCTAAAAGAATGATTTTAAAATACGGAGACCGAACCGTTGGGTCTTTGACCGACCCTGACACGAACTGCCGGGTGGTTGACGGGACTAGCCCGGGACCAGCCGGTTGTCAATTTGATTGAATAGAGGCTGTCACATGGTTGGCCGGACAGGGATTGTCGGGTCATTGTCCGAACCGGATGGGGAACACCGAGTCATTGACCGGATCGGGTCGGACCGGCACTGCCCGATTGTCGATCGGACCGAATAGGTGACGCCTAGTCGTGGATCGGACCGGAAAGAGACTGTTGGGTCGTTGACCAGATCAGACAGAGACCATCGGGTCGTCGACTGGACCGGATCGAGATAGTCGGGTGGTGTGTCGAAACGGATAGGGACCGCCGGTCATCGAATGCACCGGATCGGGATCGTCGGGTTGTGGATTGAAACGGACAGGGACCGCCGGGTCGTCGATCGGATTGAACAGGGACCGCTGGGCCGTAAGCTGGATCAAACGGGGATTGCGGGATTGTTGTCTGAACCGGATCGGGACCATCAGGTCATCGACCTGACCGGACAAGGACTACTTAGCTAGGATAGAGCATCGGGCGGGTTCGGGCGGGTGAGTAACCTAGGACCCTTTCGGTTTTCATATGTGTAATATGGGTATCCGATCCTTTTTTTTGTGTAAAAATATATCTGTTTTTTTTTTTTGAAAATCGGGTGAAAGCGGGTTCAGGTCGGGTTTCAAGTTGAGTTGGTTTTTTTTGCAAACACTTAAAATGAAATTGATAAAATGATTACATAATTTACATGTTCAAAACTGCACCAAAATCATGAATTACATACAATGTACATATTTAAAAACATGACAATTTGGTAACAAAACTGTTGGGTTAATGGCCCAAATAGAGAATCGGCTCATTTACCCCCCTCATTTGGATGAACGTCCAGCCCAACAAGGCAACTCACCCCGACGAGCGTCCAGCCAGGACAATGGTGGGTCATGCTCGCGGACAAAGGCTGTGGCGACGAACGTCTCCACTTAAAGGCCGCAACCACATGATGTCCAATCCGATCTATATGACAAATTCTCCTAAGGTCCAGAATACGAACGACCCACAACCCTTTGCAGTATCACCAGGAGCAGGCCCCCCGGCCTTACTGGGCGTCCGTCTCCATAAATTAGGCGGGAAACCCAGATTCTGGTGGGAAGCACATTTAATGCTGAAGATTTGGTGGTTGAGACATCAGCCACTCACAGCCTTTCACGTCAGTATGGCCAAATGTCCATTGGTGGTATAAATAGTAGCATTTATTTCATTGTAAAGGGTTGACAACTTATTAGCCTTAGCACTCTAGCATATTACTCGCAGCTCTTCTACTACAGTGGAGGACGAACGGCCTTCGGCCTTAACAAGTGTATTGTATCGAGGCGTTTTTTATCATTAATAATATTTGATCCCTTACTGTTCATAATTCTCTTAACTCATCTTACTTGCTGTTGGGCCAGTTAATCACCCACACTTAAACAATCCACTCGAAATCATTGGACTTATGTGTTGGGCCCGAGGGTTGAAGAAATAAACCTCAACACTTGCGCTGTCTGTGGGAAACTGAACTAAAAGTTTCCAAAACTCTCCCAAACAGCTACCAAAAACTACCTACATCAAGCAAGATGGCAAGAATTAACAACAATCAGCAACGCGACCTCTCGGAGCGGCTGGTAAGCGGGCGAAGGAACTGCAGACAAACCTCAGAGCATTCTGAGACGCTGTGGACCGCTGGCGGCGAGGGTGGGCTCACCAACCTCATCCCATACGAGGCCAGGCACGACCCTCGACTCATGAGGGAGCTGGCGGAAACCATGCGCCGAATGGCGGACGAACATGAGGCAAATGATGAGGTGTATTCCGCTAACACCATTTGGACCCCCGTATCTCCTATCCATCACATGCAACCTCTCGACGAGACAGTGGAGTCCGCCGGACGTCACACGTCCGTACACACGAGACTAGGCCGAGCTCCTTCCTCCTAAGACACGAGGGGGCACACTGGTACATGCACACCCCCCCCCCCCCCCCGCTATGAGTGGTATGACGACCATCGAACTCGCACGCCGAACGTCCCCTTCGGACACCAGGGCGGGGAGATCACCCCCGCGGCAAGCAACACTGGGCACCGCCTTCAAAGGCGAGGTGCCCACATCACTCGGAGGCAGCTCGGGACGATTGCACCTGATACGAACGTCGCGCTCACGGCCGCGGCCCCCGTGTCCCCAGAGATGGCCGCACGGGCGGCTAGGCTAGAGGCGATGGAAAGACGTATCGCAGAAATGGATAGATGTGCGGAAAATACTCCAGCCACACCCCGTTATTCCCTCACCTCGCCTTTCACCCCGCGCATAATGGCTGCGGAAGTCCCCAGGGACTGCAGACCGCCGGGCGGGCTGGTGTACAACGGGTCCGGGGATCCCAAAACACACTTGATTAGTTTCCAAGGGAATCTGTCCATGCTTGGAGCATCGGACGAGGCCATCTGCAGGCTCTTCTCCAGCACTTTGAGGGGCCCAGCGCAAGAATGGTTTGGGCAGTTGAGGCCCGGGACCATCGACTACTACGAACAACTCTCCCAGCAGTTCATGGCCCAGTTCGCGGCCAGCACCACCCCCAAGAAATCATTCGCGTCCCTGACGAACGTGAGGCAGGGGAAGGACGAGTCCTTGTCCAAATTCCTGATAAGGTGGAGAGACAAGGTCCTGCAGGTTGACGAGATGGACAAACGGCTAGGGGCCAACATGTTCACCAGCGCCTTGGTCACCGGGGATCTGTACCGCGAGCTCAAACGGAACCCTGGAATGAGCTGCACCGAGGTGTTGGCCAAGGCCGAGAAGTATGCGTCTATTGAAGAAGAGATCAAGCAGAGGGACGGAGCACCAGCTGCCTCAAGCCGGAAAATGGTGGACCGGTTGGGCCCTGGACCCGGGAATTCCCCGCCCCCCAAGAAGAAGAAGACGGGCGGTCTCATGGCTCCCTGGGTAGCACAACCCGAGGAGATCTACGAACATCCCCCGAGGGGCATTCCGGTGGCTTACCCGGTGAGCCAAATCTTTGAGGCAATCAAACACAAGGGTCTCCTACCAGAACCCCAAAGATCCAAGACTGTGATGGGAAGGGATCAGAACTCCTTTTGCGAATATCACGAGAGGGTTGGCCACCACACGGATAGTTGCCGCCAACTCAGGTTGGCCATAGACGAGCTGATTTGCCAAGGATATCTCGGCGAGTTCACAAAGATACTGACGCAGGGCAGCCAGGAGCAGCCGCCCAGGAGGCCGGGCACCTGGCGCCGTGATGACCAGTGCGAGGCCGAACCCAAGGACATTGATTATTGAAGCACTGATAAACGTCCGGAGGGATCCCTCGGGCCGAACGACGGGAAAAAGAAGCTCGAGATCAAGGTGATCTTCGGGGGTGCTGAGACTGGAGATACCCTGCAGCACGGAAGAAGTTCGAGAGAGCCCTCTATGTGGGTTCCGTGTCGAGTCCCCCCGCCAAGAAAATACGAGTGGAGCTCAATACCTTCGAGCCGGCCGACCTGCCAAAATCACCGGCGTTCCATAGGGACGAACTGGTGATCAGCATGAACATCAATGACGCCCTCATTCGTCGCGTCCTTGTTGACATTGGCAGCAGTGTGAACGTCCTCTATTGGGACGTATTTATAAAGATGCACCTGAGGAAGGAACAACTGACCCCTCTGCGCACCCCGCTAGCGGGGTTCACTGGGGATTGCATTGATGCGGAAGGTACCATCACCCTCCCCGTGGAAGTCAGGGACGGGCCGCACAAAGCCAGGATCGACATGACGTTCGTCGTGGTCCGCCTAAAGTGTGCCCACAACGCCATTCTAGGCCGACCCGGCCTCGAAGATCTAGAAGCCATATGCTCCGTGCGGCATTCTTGCATGAAATTCCCCACTGAGACAGGGGTGGGAGTGGCCCGCACGGACCCACACATGGCAAGGGCTTGCTACCAGAAAGCCATGGAGAGGCTGGACGAGCGTGAGGCTCGAGTCAACAGCATCTCGTAAACTGCTAAACGAGCTGATTCTGAGGCTCGGCCAGAACCGGCCACACTTCTCGAAGAAGTGGAGCTGGATGACCCGTCAGATAGGAAGGTATCCATCGGGGCCGATCTAGAGCCCGAGATCAGGGAAGGGGTGATAGCCGTCCTCCGGAAATTCAAAATATTGTTCACCAGAGGGCCGGAGGACATGCCAGGCATCGACCCTAACATCATCTGCCATAAACTCGCGGTTCGGTCGGATGCCAAACCAATCCAGCATAAGAAAAGGTACATGGCGGCCGACCGACGAGATTTCATCAAGACGGAGACTGCTACGCTCCTCACCATCCGACATATCCGGCCGGTCATCCACGTGGAGTGGTTGGCTAATGTTGTTTTAGCCCCAAAGGGTGACACATGGTGG